AAGGTGGGAAGTGTGTGTGGCGGGAAGTGGGGGGTAACACATCTATGGTCTGCCACATACAATGCTCACCTCTCTCTGGGCAGCTTAATAACACCTGCTAGCTCCAATCGTGTCAATGTAATCCACACCTTATCTCCACGAAGTCTCTGACCTCCATGCTGGTTATGATGAACCGTTTATGTAGATTGGAGGAACATTCACCATATTGATTCCCAGAGATTTTGTACAAGTCATTCTGAATTGAGCAAGCTAGTCGGATGATCAGCGAAACGTCTTCAAGAACACAGCAAGTCCAGTTGCCTTGATTTGTTGTTTTTTTTACAGATTTACTTGGTGGAGTCCCTATGAAGGGTGCGGTACAATGCAAAATTGCTTACAGGTTAAATTAATTTCAATCTCTATAGTATTGCTGTTTATTGAACGTATAGAGGTTACCTTTATTGTGTTGGCAAGGTAAGTGCACACATGTAGTAAAGGGTTGTCATTACGCAGTGATGTTGGGTTAGACCTCCGGTACTGGCGGACTTTTTCCTGCAGCGCACACAGATCGTTATTCAGAATCATTGGGCTTTCCTGTTCTACTCATCCATCCATATTTATATTCCGCAGGGGGAGTTGGAACGTCAGCTGCTTCAAGCGAACCCCATCCTGGAATCTTTTGGAAATGCCAAAACTGTGAAGAACGACAACTCCTCCCGCTTTGTGAGTAGATAGACGCTTTGCGTCACAACTCTGCATGAAAATCCTTAATTTTTCCAATGCTGAGGTTCTGTGATGTACAATTGAGGTGTAGAGTCATTGGAATGCAAGGACCGGATACAGGATGGAAATATGGTGCTGTCTGCAGGAGCATAACACCCATCAGGCTATATAGCCTGCACCTAAGCAAAGGGGACGGGACGCAGTGATGTCATTGACCTCATATGGCCACCTGACTACAGGTCAATCACATTTCCCCCATCGTGGCCATATAAGGTCAATGACATCAGCAGAGGCAATCCCGACCTTTGTTTATGGAATGCTCCGTCCCGCAGCTGATTGGGCGGGTGGCCCCATGTCCCTTCTATATTCGGAGGAGCTCCGGTTTGGTCCGAACCTGCCCTACTTCTGCCTATTCCTAAGGAATGAAGTGTTCTCTGCTCCTCTGTTAACTGATATGTCCTGCTGGATACTAGATCAGGTCCACCGCTCTCTCCTGCAGACTTGTATAGGGAACTTTGAGATCTGTGCGTCCACACACTGGCAGCGCCACCACAATCCCAGCGGCATATCGGCTGCACTGGCAGTGTGTGGACGCACTGATCTCAGAGTTCCCTATACAAGTCTCCAGGAGAGAGCGGTGGACCTGATCTAGTATCCAGCAGAACATTTCAGGTCAAGTCCCAGCATATCCTCTCCTATTATGACATCAGAATTGTAATAGGAATACATAGTAGACTTGTCTCTGATACATTCAAAGCTAACTAGAAAAAATCCCTTTTATGTAGTGAGCGCTGCCTTCCGTCTGCCCATCACTTCCAACAACTTCCTGGATTCCAGGTGTGCTTTGCATCTCTTTCCCTGCTGCTTGATGTGATGCAATCTCCATTTCTCAAGACCACAACTCCCATCATGCATTGCTTCCAGCAAGCAATGATAATGTTACATTGTTCAGACGTTGAGTTGTAGTTCAGAAGGCAGGCTCTAGGAGAGTGGCGACACCAGAAAGTTCATATTCACAGGGCTGAGTGATATGGTGTCAGTGCATCGAGGAAGTCCATCCTATGAGCATCTTCAGTTTACTATCTTCTACACGGATCTGGTTATTAGGAGCAGGGATAGAACATATGGAAATACAGATTTATTTTTTGTTTTTAGCCATAGATACCCTTTAACAGCAGAGAACACTTTATTCCTTAGGAGTAAGGCCTCATTCACACCATCCTCAGTGCATTCCGGCCCAATTGTGGCCGGAACACACTGGATCACATTGCGGCCGGCTCAGTTTGTTGTGGGGCGGGAGAGGGCGCGGCGGTGCATTGAAGTGAATGGCCACGCCCTCCGGCCGCACGGGAAAGCAAGGCACATCAATGCCTGTGGTCCGGTCAGAAAAAATGCTTTTTCTGACCAGACTGCAGGCATTGATGAGCCTTGCGTTCCCGTGCTGCCAATCGCATTGCGGCTGCGGTGCCATTCACTTTAATGCACAGCCGGGCCCTCTCCCACCCCACAACAAACTGAAATGTAATCCTCCTGTCCCATCGCACTCCTGACCGGACAAAAACCCAAATCCAACTGGGTGGGTGCGGTGGTGACAACGGATGCCTCCGTGAAATGTAGATAGAAGAAAGTAGTCACTCGCACTCCATGATATTAAAGTCAATGCTATTTATTGACTGAGAACACACATCTCCTTAGCTAAACCCGTATCCTTTATCACTAAGGAGATGTGTGTTATCTCAGTCAATAAACAGCATTGACTTTAATATCATGGAGTGCGAGTGACTACTTTCTTCTATCCACAACAAACTGAGCCGGCCGCAATGCGATCCAGTGTGTTCCGGCCACGAGGATGGTGTGAACGAGGCCTTAGAGACCTCTTTAAAGAGGGTTCCCCGCCCAGGGCGGTCTGTGAATACAATCTACATGCAGTTGCTACAACTGGATACTTTGTATATAACAGGAGATTGTTCATAAGGTGTCTGTGATCCTAAAGTATTCATGTGACGGTTGGTGGGGAAAAGCTGATACCTGGCAGCAACAGTTGGATGACCAGCTTAAGGGCCTGTCCACATGAGATCAGGTCCTGATCAGCAGACGTGGAGCTGCTGATGCAGTGCGTTTTTGATGCGTTTTCAGTCCGGATGCTGACGGTTCTTTTTTTTTTTTTTAGCCAAGGGGTTGTCAGTATGCAGATTCGGTCTCTGAGGTCACTTTTTCCTTAGCTTTTTCATTAGCTGCGTTGCATTTCCGTTGCGTTTTTTCGGACCGGACAAAATGTGACACGTAACCTGAACGGACTGCGCACGTGAGAACTGTAGCCCATAAAACACATAGGGATACATTGGGATGCATTTTGAGTGCAGCAGCGTACGGATCCGGTCAGCACAGAAAACTGACGTCGTGTGAACAGGCCCTTAACTACCTCCCGGCCAGCCGCTGTGTATACACGGCCTGCCGGGAGCTTCTTGGATGTAACTGGGCGTGTATACGCGGTGCGCGCGAGCGAGCGGGAAATCCCCGCTATTTGAAAAGAGGCAGCGATGCCCGTTAATATACAAGCGATCCGCCGGCTATAGAGCCGGCGGATTGCTTGTATGAAGCCCCGAGACGTGCGCCCCCCCCTCCATACCACCAAATGATTAAATACCACCAAAAGAAAGCTCTATCTGTCCCCAAAAAATGGTATAAAATTCATTTCAGTACAGCGTTGCGTGACGGAATAAATGTCAGTCAAAGTATCGCAGCGCTGAACACTGAAAAATGGCCTGGCCAGGTAGGGGATCTAAACACCTGGTCTTCAAGCAGTTAAAGAGGAACTCCAGGATTTCCAACAGTTAACCCTTGCAGTAGGGCTACCCCTGCACTGCAAGGGTTAAGTGCCTGTTTTGGTCTAGGGGCCGGAATAAAGAACACACACTCGCCTGATCCTCGGTCCTGCCTGCATTCCCCTCTCTCCGATCTGGCTGTGGTATGTCCCTCTGCATCCTTGCATCTAATGAACCTGCATGAGACCTGATGACGTCAGTGGTCCTTAGAGCGCCGGAGCCCTGGGGAGAAGAGGCTCTGGGGACCAGTCTAGCAGCCAGCCGAGATTGAGGATGATTGAGCCCCGAGACATGACAAGCAGTTAACCCTTGCAGTGCTGAGGGGAGCCCCATTGCAGGGGTTAACCTTAGAGAATCCTGGAGCTCCTCTTTAATGAAGATTCCAGGCAGAGGCCTGGCTGCGGTTTAATGTTGCACAGCAGGTGTCCGGTTCCTTCCAGGTAATCCCCCCTCGCAAGCCGTGTGCTCCTCCTTGTCCTGAAAGCACCTGATTAGACAGAAGCCGGTTCTGCCTGAAATAGGAGCTTAGCCAGCGCACCGCGGCTATGACCTCACCCCGGGCTCTGCTGGCGAGGATTTGTGTCCCGCCTCTGTGTCATCTCCTCTAATACTTCCTTATGTGTTCCCTGAAATCATCCCGTGTGCCTGAAAATAATCCCTGACTTATGTGCGATGCCGGGCATGTGCCGCAATGGGTTTTATATGCAGGCGAGCCGTCCTCCCGTCTGATGATCACTCTTAGTCATGAAGCATCAGCACCCATGTTTACCCCGTCGGGTACCAGGAGGATGAACATGTGACCAAAACTTGAAGTGGGACAGGATGACAGCCTCTTATGTTTGTGTCACCATTATGGCAATTTCGCCTCATTTCCTGTCCCAGTGACACAGGAATGATGGTCAATAGGAAGTGAGTGACACAAACTACTGGAGGAAATCTTGTCATTGTGGGAGGGGCAGAGGCACAAACGGAGGAAATCTCACCATTGTGGGAGGGGGCAGAGACACAAACTACTGGAGGAAATCTCACCAATGTGGGAGGGGCAGAGACACAAATTACTGGAGGGAAATCTCACCATTGCGGGAGGGGCAAAGACACAAATTACTGGAGGAAATCACATCCATTGTGGGAGGGGCAGAGACACAAACAACTGGGGGGAATCTCACTATTGTGGAAGGGGCAGAGACACAAACTACTGGAGGGAAATCTCACCATTGTGGGAGGAGCAGAGACACAAACTACTGGAGGAAATCTCGCCATTGTGGGAGGGGCAGAGACACAAACTACTGGAGGGAAATCTCACCATTGTGGGAGGAGCAGAGACACAAACTACTTTGGAACCCCTTGGGCGAACCTCTCCACTTGCCAGGAAGTATGAGATATTGGCGGGTGGCACTCCGCTGCCCAAACAAGTTTTTCCGGATAATAATTTAGCTCAGAATTAACTCCTTGTTTTTTTTTTTTTCTTTCTAGGGAAAGTTCATTCGCATCAACTTTGACGTGACGGGTTACATCGTCGGGGCCAACATCGAAACCTGTATCCTTTATTACTGTACCGCAGCTCGGCCCGCCAGGCCCGTGGAATGCAGGAAATAGCAGTGGGGAACGCAGGCAGTTTTTAGCTATTGGATAAACTCCGACTTCCCCTTCTCCCAGCTTTTGTTTAAGCACGCGTCTGCCAAATCTGTGCAGAAAAAAATGGTTTCCTTAGTGGATCAGATACTGGCGCCTTCCCGCTTGTGTTACGCTTTGTAGTCGGACGTACGGTGCCGTTATGTTGTGTCTCGTGTCACATGACCTCCATCCAAATAAGTGTGACAGTTAATTAAAGGCATACATACACTTTACAGGAGGGGTATGCAACTCAGGCACTCCAACTGCGCTTCAACTACAATCCCGTCATGTCTCTGTAACTGTCAGTCTTGCAATGCCTCATGGGACTTGTAGTTCCACAACTTTTGGAGGGCTGGAGTTGCCCTTTGCGGGGTTAAAGCAGCTTGTTAACCCCTAACAGTTCACTGCCAGTAGATATGTTGTGTGTGTGTACATACTAGAGATGTGTTAAAGGCACAGTCCACCTTTACATGGTCGCATTCCCCAAACCTTTAAATATCCCCCCCACTTATCTGAGTCAAGGAGTTCTTCTGCCTGCAGCCTTCTGTTTTCATTTGCATTTGGCGCAGCTGTGTGCCCACACGGCCCATGTCATCCATTCACAGAGACCTGTGAATGGGGAAGACTACTGTTCCCATCTGGCACTGCAGCAGATGGGAATTGCAATGCGACCATGTTTAATGTAATTCGGGTAACATGAAACATTGTCCCAAGGGTGGACTATGCCATTATCAGGGGATTCACCCAACAGGTATTCTTGGCTGAGTGAAAAGAACTGTAAAGGTACAGCAGGGGTACGGCGGTGGCGGTAAAACGGATCCCCCTCCCGCCTCCAGGATGGCGTGAGTCCGCAGTCTCGTGTTACTCCCTGGACAGCCAATGTTTAGACGCCGTGCCGCAGGCTGCTATTGAGAGGGAAGCTCATCCCCGCCTGGGCAATTCTCAGCAAAATCTCTACAGTAGGGAAATTAAATACCATTCTTGGGATTCCGACCCGCGCCAAGTGTAAGATGAAATGCAGCCTTTCTTAATTAAAAACACATCACCTTATCCTTAGCCTTCCAGGGCCCGGCCGGGCCCCGCTTTGAACACTTTCGGGTTTTTATAGCAGAAGGTAACATGTAGTGATTTGTAGCAGCCTGGGAGCAACGCTCACTGATTCGGCTTAAAAAATGCTGCATTGTGATTGCTTCATGTGTTAAGTGGTAACGAGGGAGGGTTTGTTTTTGGATGGAATCTCATTGTGAGTAGTGGCTAGTTTGTCCAACATTGCAATGAGTCGGAAAGTTCTTCCAGGCACAGATCCCTGTGGATGTTTTTGCTTGGAATGGAGTAGTGAAGGGGAAGAATCCTTAAATGTACAAACAATAATAAAATAAAATGTTGACATTTTTTAGGTAGGTTTGGCATTGAAGCCTCAAAAAAACATTGCAACCATAATCAGTGGGTTGCAGGTGCTTTGCACAGGCTTCTGCATGGTTTACCTCTAGTCCCAGGTCTGTACTGGGGTACAGACCTGGGGCTAGGGGTAAACCATGCAGAAGGACCGCACCTCCGTACAGACCTGGGTCTGGGGGTAAACAATGCAGGAGGATCGTACCTCTGTACAGACCAGGGTCTGGGGGTAAAAAGTGCAGGAGGATCGTACCTCTGTACAGACCTGGGTCTGGGGGTACACCGTGCAGGAGGACCGTGTCTCCATACAGACGTGGAGCTGGGGGTTAACCATGCTGGAGGTCCGTACAGACCTGGGTCTGGGGGTAAACCATGCAGGAGACCATACCTCCGTACAGACCTGGGGCTGGGAGTAAACAATGCAGGAGTGCCATACCTCGGTACAGACCTGGGCCTGGGGGTAAACCATGCAGGAGTCCCATACCTCCGTACAGACCTGGGGTTGGGAGTAAACAAAGCAGGAGTCCCATACCTCCATACAGGCCTGGGCCTGGGGGTAAACAATGCAGGAGTCCCATACCTCTGTACAGGCCTGGGCCTGGTGGTAAACAATGCAGGAGGACTGTACCACTACAGACCTGGGGCTGGGGGTAAACAATGCAGGAGGGCCATACCTCCGTACAGGCCTGGGCCTGGGGGTAAACAATGCAGGAGTCCCATACCTCTGTACAGGCCTGGGCCTGGGGGTAAACAATGCAGGAGTCCCATACCTCTGTACAGGCCTGGGCCTGGGGGTAAACAATGCAGGAGGACTGTACCACTACAGACCTGGGGCTGGGGGTAAACAATGCAGGAGGTCCATACCTGCATACAGACCTGGGGCATTTTGGGGCTGGAGGAAGTGTGCAATGCTCTGGCTCCTGCAGACTCCCTCCTGTCCCGGTCCGAGATGTGGACATTCAGTAACAGGGACAGGATCAGGGAGGACGAATGAAATGACTACAATTGGGGTGATGTCACCACACTGGAGCTAGGGAGATCTCGGAGTCTCTCTGCTGTTATAGCAGATGGGGCTTGTCTTCCAATTCCCAGATCCCTGTGAACCCTTAACTCCTCTGTACAGATCTACTGGAAAAGTCTCGAGCGATACGGCAAGCCAAGGATGAGAGGACCTTCCATATCTTCTACCAGCTGCTTGCTGGCTCCGGGGAACACCTCCGATGTAAGCAAACAGCGAATGTATCTTACTTTATATTGATGCTATTGGCTTGTCTCCATCAATAGACTTATTGTAGATTATTCCAATTGGCCTGTCATGGCTGAAATGTGATTGGTTGCTATGAATTACTGTACTGCACACCATTGGCCCTTTCCTCTACTGTGAGTATCTGATCACTCCCTGTGCTGGCCTAGCTCCTCTGCCCCTCTCTAAATTGTATCTAGCAGCCCTGGGAGAAGCGAAGGGTAATACCATAGAGTGTCACTTCAGTATAGCTGGGGCTGCGGACATCACATCCAAGATGGCGGCAGCAGTCTCTGGGCTTTTGGATGTCTACACAAGGGAGGCTTTTACTGGTAAATAACATTCATAAAATACATGGAATGCACATATAATCTTAGGGAAAGGTTTTTGTTGACATGGTCTGGTGACGGGGTCTCTTTGAAGCTGAACTCCGGCCTTCCCTTCAGTCTTGCACAGTTGTACCGGCTCCTTTCCTGGACTGAAATGGCTTCCCCTGATGTCACTGCACACTGCGAGCTTCTCACAATGTGCATTAGAAGCTGCAGAGTCATATAGAGCTCAGCTCATTTCCAGACTGGAGGACATCCAGTATCATCTAGCCTTTTCCTCCCCAGTCCGATCTATTCATTCGTTGGATTTCAGTTTTTTGAATCATGGAGGCTCAGCATGGCATGTGGATGTTACCTAGGGTGGTCTTCATGCATAGAGAAGCAAAGAGACGCAGTGATGACATCACTTGGTGTAACCTGAGGTATGCGATGAAAACGGAAAGCTTTTATTTAAAAATGTCATTAGCATGTTGATTGGGGAATAGAAAATATAAGCAGATTTAACTTCAGCTTCAGGTGATATATAAATGGCTGTTGTAAATCTCCTGACCCATTTCCTCTTTTTCTTACACCTCTCACAGCCGATCTGCTGCTGGAAGGTTTCAACACTTATCGTTTCGTGTCCAACGGCTACGTGCCCATCCCGGGACAACAGGATAAGGACAACTTCCAGGAGACCATGGAGGCCATGCACATCATGGGCTTCACTCACGATGAAATTCTCTGTGAGTAACCCAGACACGTTCTTCTCCTTTCCTCACGGGGACACCACCCATGCTAACTCACGGCGTCCCCTTCTCCGCAGCCATGCTGAAAGTCGTGTCTTCCGTCCTGCAATTCGGGAACATCAGTTTCAAGAAGGAGAGGAACACAGACCAGGCGTCCATGCCGGAGAACACAGGTGGGTCAGTCTGGCGCTGCTGGACCCGAAATACTTGGATATCTAAAGCTGCCAAGACAGCGTTTGGGTGGTTCGCCTATGCATGGAGTGCAAACCGATTGTGTTGCCGGTAAATCTTTTCGACCGATCGGTGATCATTCCCAGAAGAGAGGAGCGAGCCTCTCACCGTGTTTGCTGCATCGGCAAAATTTACAATGAGTCTGGCTGGTGGGTGGGCTGGCGACGGAGTAAACCTGAACCATGATTTCTGCATGCAGAATGTCAATGTTATTTTTAAAGGAGACCTTTTCTTCTAATATGCAGATGAGCTGATCTCGCCCAGACACCCAAAATAATTTGTTGTCAGTTGCCGGCCCTGCCCTCATTCAGAGTAAAGTGACAGGGTCTCTTGATGCAGTGCTGCGGCCTTGCAGTCAATTGCCGGGCCTAATAGTGTCACCTGACTGAGCGGGTTAGGTCATTGCATCCTGTGACGCGACATAGGAAGGCGCAGCGGGTGTGCGTTGGAAAGGCAGTTATAAGTTGGCTGGACAAGGCGTCATAATCTCTAAGATTGGGTGGGGGAACCTGGCACTCACCCTCACCACTGACAGCTATGGCACCAGGTGGAGGGCTGGCCACGCTCTCCACAATTCCTCTACGTCAGGAATAGGCAACCTCGGCACTACAAATCCCATCGTGCTACTTCCTCTAGGAGTCATGCCTGTGGCTGTCTTGTCTTGCAATGCCTCATGGGACTTGTAGTTTTACCACAGCTGGAGTGTTGAGGTTGCCCACCCCCAACTCTACATATATGTGGCTTCCTGAGCCATAAACACCTCCCCCCCCTGCATTTATTCACAGCTTATGTGTGTCTGAAACTAAAAAGTAATTCTAGTTTGCGGTCAGTTAAAACGTGAACGGCACTCAGCAAAAGTTATTTTTTTTTTTTTTCTTCAATCCGTGGCCTCTCTGCACCCCAGAAATTCCAGCTTCCCCGACGGTATTGCATTACCCGTGGCACATACCACTCTCCCTCCCTCCACAAGGCGGCTCACGCACTGCAGCCCCTCCCTGCCGATTTAATTTGCATCTAATCGTCCTCCAGAAGTATGAAGGGGGGCGGCAGAGGGAAGAGTATGCATAGCTTGTTAGAAGTGTTTATTTTCATTGGTCCCGAGCTGCTGCGAGAGGCCAAGAATCTGCAGCCAGACTGACGAAAACCCAGAGAGACCCATCCGAGCCAAGAAAAAGCACTTCCTAACCCATTGTTTCCCGTCAAGGAGGAATGTTTAACCCAACATTAAACCTTCAGCCGCTGCTGTTATTTAGTCTTCATGAAGTTCCAAATGGCACCCCAGCCGACGCTGCGTTCCCCAGATCCCCGCATTGCTTAGATGATTTGTAATGCTGCAAATGTTTTCCGTTAACCTTAGGTAGATATAAAAGACACAAAATAATGCAGCTCTGTATTTGGTACATCATTGAGTTCAATTTATGTTTATGCAAACAGTGTAAGTAACTGAATTTGACTTCATATCAGTCTCTGTACAACAGAGCTCAGGCTGGGTGAGGGAAGCAGCACAAGGAGCAAATCTGATAATGAGCTGATAAGAAGGATGCCGAAAGGAGAAGAGACCAGAGAGACAAACTAATCCTGTGCTCCTTCTCATTTCAAAGTTCAGTCGCAGGCTGGGGGCGGGTCCATGACAGCTTGGGCTCAAAGGAATAAAGGGAGATAGAGAGAAGGACAAAGCCAAGCGATAGAAGTCAATGACATCTCAGTATTGGATGGACTGACACTTTAATTACCCATAAGCCTCTGTGTGATGGATCACACACTGAAGGCCAAAGTGTCCAGTCTTCCCATCCGTCAGTCCAAATCGGCGACTTCCTACAAGAATAATAATCTTGAAGCAAATCTGCGGTCACAAGTAAGGAAACTGAAATTAGCCGACACCTTTGCACAACGTATCTTCCGAGTATGGAAAGCATCGGCCTGGGGGGAATCACGCATAGCGGCAGGCTGAAGTAATCAATATTAGGTTACTGTCTTCTCAGCAGAGGGAAGGAAAAATCTATCCAATGCCACAAATGCTCTTCCATTGAATAGAGGAAGCATTGTGCCAAAGCGTGGGAGGGGGGGGGGCAGTCCTGGAATAGTGTATAGACCATGGCAAGGCCAATATGGATATGCAATCTGCACACCTGTGTCTATTATGAGGGGTTCCCACCATCTCTGCATTGAGTTTCCCAGTCTGCACATCTGCTGTGCCCATTATGAGGAGTTCCCACCATCCCTGTGTGCTGATTTCCCCGGTCTGTACACCTGTGTCTATTATTAGGGGTTCTCTTCATCTCAATGCCGAGTTTCCAGATCTGTACACCTGCTGTGCCCATTATGAGGGCTCCCACCATCCCTGTGCTGAGTTCCCGTGTCTGTACACCTGCTGTGCCCATTATGAGGGGCCCCCACCATCCCTGTGCTGAGTTCCCGGGTCTGTACACCCGCTGTGCCCATTATGAGGAGCTCCCACCATCCCTGAAAGTTTACTTGGACTTTAAAAGGGAAAGTGTTTTCTTTCTTATGACATTTCTAAGCTTTGTGCCTGACCTGCAGCCACAGAGCGGTTCAGTACTGCAAATAGTGCCATATAGCGGACATGGGCCTGCTTTAGTCAGAGGAGGTCATTATAAAGCAGAACGAGGGACTGATTTTCAGCAGATGTTTGCGAATTGGCTGCCGGCCTCCCTCTCAGGCAGCAGGGGTGAGGAGGAGGTGAGCTGTGTGTATGACAAGAGCCAGGTCCGAGGGCCTCATCCCACCGTATGTTGTCATTTCAGCCGCACAGAAACTCTGCCACCTGCTGGGCATGAATGTTATGGAGTTCACTCGAGCCATCCTGACGCCACGCATCAAAGTGGGCAGAGACTACGTACAGAAGGCACAGACAAAGGAACAGGTGAGCAGCTGGCAGAGCGCCAACATGTGTGACGGTCCATGAACTACAAGAAGAGAATGTAAGGCCTTGTTCACGGGGGCGGAAAAGCCAGGCAGGTGATCTGCCGTCCCCGTTTGCCTGCTGCAATGTCAGCACTGTGGCTGAATGCCGGGCAACTGCTGCTCCGCCACCCTATTAAAAGTGCTCCACAGTGCTATTTTTTTCTTTAATATGTATGAGTTGCCATTCGTGCCCCACTGAGGAAATTAAACTTCTAAAATATAAAAGTGGAACTCTGGACAAAATAGAAAAACAATGCTACTGTCGGATTGCATCATGTATGCTATTTGTTGAGTTCCCCCTTGACATAGTTTCATTACCAGTTGATCCGGCCATTGTTTCCATTTTCTATAACAGGGTGACAACATTGTTCCGTCTGCAGTAAAACGGCACAGCAGTGTTGTCACCCTGTGGACAGCGCAGTCTTAGATCAGGGGTGGTCAAATATATATATATGAAATTTAGGATCCAATCTGGCCATTTCAAGACCAGCAGGAGCTTTTAAGGAGCCAGCTTCATTAAAAGCACTCTAGGCAAATCAAATCTTAACCCTTGCATTGGGGCTACCCCCACACTGCAACGGTTATGTGCTTTCGCCTAGGGAGCTAAAATAAAGTTATACTTGCGTGAACCTCACAGATGGCTGGCCTCGGCTGCCCATCAGCCTCGGCTGGTACCCCTCCGCTCCAGCAGTCTAAGGTCCTATGAATCATCACATCCAATGCAGTGTACGCTGGAGGACATGCTATCGCTGGAGCAGAAGAGGGGGCAGGCTGGAGGGAGCAGTGTAAGAACATGCCGGGATCGTGGTTCAGGTGAGTATAACTGTTATTTAAGCTCCCTAGACAAAATGAGCACTTAACCCTTGCAGTGTGATTGTAGCCCCACTGCAAGTGTTCAGATTTGATTTGCTTAGAATTCTGCTTTAAATGTTAGGGGCCACCTGCAATTTTTAAGAAGTATTGGCGACCTGGCTCCTAGGATTTGTCCAGCCTTGTCTTACATGGACATGTCGTTTTTAATGGACTTTAAGTCAGAGGCAAACAATTAAAGCCTACCTCCATTAAACACATTTACAGCAACAGGTTTTTGTTTTTTCTTTTGGAAAAAAAAAATGAAGCCATATAAATAGAAGCTGACTCTTATAAGCACCTACCCCTGGAAGTGTGTTATGGTTTGTCCCAACCTATGTAACTGAACTTTTTGCTGGGCAGCTTGGCCTGTTAAGGAAGTGGAAGAATAATAGATCTACTGGCAGGATCAATAAGTAATAAAGGGTGTTTACATGTGGCATTCCATATCGTACAGATCATTTCTGATTTTGCTCATGGTTAGAAATGTTGTCAGGATTCACTCATATTCTCTCTCCCCAGGCGGATTTTGCCGTGGAAGCACTAGCCAAAGCAACCTACGAGCGCCTATTCCGCTGGCTGGTCCACCGGATTAACAAAGCTCTCGACCGCACCAAGCGCCAAGGAGCCTCCTTCATCGGCATCCTGGACATCGCTGGCTTTGAGATCTTCGAGGTGGGTCAGAGTCATTCGTGTGCCCTTTTGGTTATTGTTAATTTGCATATATCCATCAGACGTCCGGCGATGACGTCCTGGTAATACGACTGGAACATTCTTCTTTCTAATAGGAGCTGAGAATAGTTCTATCAAATAAAATTCAACTTTGCTGGTGATCACGAGTTCCTTTATTTAAAAAAAAAATTCTGATTTACGTCAACGTAAGCGGAGTTTTGGGACGCTAAGCTGCCAAATCGGAGGCATATGAGTTCACTGTCCGCTTCCTCGTCAATTCGTTAATGGGTTCCATAACTAATGCGCGTCATTCCTAATCTTATAATGTTACATAATGATACAAGAAAGTTGTTTTTCTTTGGCTTGGATAACGGTCTTATCATTTCAGCTCATATGAGCAATTCTGTATTTCTGGTGTTCTGAAGGTTCAGTAGGAAAGGTGAGGCTTGAATGCAGAACTCCTGTTTTCAGGAAGAGCAGGAAGGGGTTAGAACCAAGGTCAGCATACGTATGGAGATCTGCGCCCTCATTAACCTCTTGCCGTCCGCCCGTAGTAGAAAAACGGACGGATTAGTCTTGCTTCCTGTGTGGTCACTGAAACCGGAAAGGAGAGGAAATACCCTCTACTGAATCAGACCTATAGCTCTGCAATTCGCAAAGCTCATGTCGCCTGCTGATTGCAGAGCTCTGGTTCTGACTGGGCAGGGTACGTGTCAGACCTCTGTAGAGAGACCATTGTTTTCCACAGAGAGAAAGGGTCCTTCTCTGCAGCATGCTGGCAGGGCATGGGCTTTTCTGCTCAAGTTGTAGCTGCTTTCTTAGGAAAATGAACAGGAAGACTCTGCACACATTTACAATGTTTAGCTGTTCCCTAAACCAGGGTGCTGGGGGGATTCTGGCTTCCTCAGGGTGCCCCAAAAGTTTTGCCAGCACCATGGAAACTAATGATGCTAAACCAGGAATGATGGGATCCATTCAGAAAAGGATGTACGTTCTCCGTCCAGACCATGCTTCTCCCACTCTCGGCCATGCTGCCACAGCGTCTGATATAAAAAGGGGGTTCTAGTGTAAAGGGGGAGTCTGATGTGAGAGGGGGGCTCCTGATTCGAAGTGGGAGCCCCATTTTTCGTCGTCGTTGTTGTTGTTGCTTGGGATCTTCCCTTGAAATTTATCCCAGACCCCTCTGATAAGGGTCTCGTATGTATTTTTGCCTTTTTACATTGTATGTTTCTTACATTGTAGACCGGGGTGCCTGGAGATTTTACATATTTTTAAAGGGTGCAGTGACTGAAAAAAAACCATAGTGCCTAAAATATAGTAAATCCGTTTCTGGTTTAGCTTTCTCCATTTTTTTATTCCTTTATGCACGTTGTAGTTTTTTGTTGCGATGCCACTGCTAACTCTTATCTTCCTCGCGCAGCTGAACTCGTTTGAACAGCTCTGCATCAATTACACCAACGAAAAACTGCAGCAGCTCTTCAACCACACCATGTTCATCCTGGAGCAGGAGGAGTACCAGCGGGAGGGCATCGAGTGGAACTTCATCGACTTCGGCCTTGACCTCCAGCCTTGTATTGACCTCATCGAGAGGCCAGTAAGTACTGCAGTCCTTTATTTGTGCTGTGAGCATGGAGGCTTTCATCAAGTAGAGAGAGTGCTATATGCAACAACACATAGCCAATCAGAACTCGAAGCACTTCAATCTTTACGTTGTGGAGTCTAGAGAGAACGTAGAGTGCATCTTGTTCTGTGTGGAAAATGAATATTGTAAAAAAAAAACACATTCAGGATGTCTCAATACATGTAACTTTCCCCAGGCTCAAATATTGATTTGATTATTGGTATGTATATAGTACTGACAATTTACGCAGTTCATTACATTACACATTCACATCAGTCCCTGCCCTCAAGAAGCTTACAATCCGCAAGGAAGCTGTATAAGCAATGCAATGCACATATGGATGGAGCTCCAGCACAGCACCCCACACTGGACCCCAGGTTAAGGATTTTCGGAGTGTATATGTGTATGAGAACGTGTGTGTGTGTGTGTGTGTCTGTCAGTGTTTTTCAGGTCCCATTCACACTAGTACAGGGGGTAACAGCACAGTCCCATGTGATTAATGCATTGTACCACAGAATCGCACCTACAGTGTGTTCTGGTGTGGGAGGTTCATTGCATTGCCATTCATTTGAATGGCACCCCAAATACACCTCCCACTTGCAGTTCATTCGCCTGCACCGGAGCGCGCGATACCGCAATATCTTGCATTCCATTGCAGTGTGACTTAATGACCGAGGACAAATGTGGGTCCTGAGGTTACACAGGTTGAGAACCACTGGTCTAGACTACATAAGATATGTTCCATGAAACCTGAATGTGTTTGAGAATGTTGAGCTCGGAGGCCATCTGCTGGAGAAAGGTGGCAGTGATTTGTGTCTGCACCACATCCTTCCATGACGTTCCTCTCTTACTGAAAACATTGCTTTACTCTGACTCCGCATCAGTGGGATTATAAGGTCTATCATGCAGTCCTTGTTTCTTCTCCCAGGAGAGCTTGCATTCTTAGAATGCAAGCGGTGTAAGCTGAACCTGAGTGGGACCTGGTATCAGCCTCTTGTACTCCCTGTACATCAGGGCTGGAGTGTGAGAGGAAGAAGCAGCACAAGGAGCCAATCATGTGCTGGCAGGGACCATGCTGATAGGGAAGCGGAGGGACAGAGAGATGAGCTCCTCACTGCTGCTTCTCCTTTCACTGTCCAATCATGGGCTTGGGGTGGGTCCAGGGTGACCTGGGCTCAGAGGAAGTGGTTTAAATGATGCTGCCTGTAAGACTGAGGACATCTGGTGGCATACACTGCAGGGGAAATCTGTGGATTGAAATTTTATTTCATATTTTAATGGCTTGTTATTTTTATCTTGTTATTTATGGCTGGACTTCGGCTTTAACAATAGCCTTTAGTTTCATACATAAAGCACATGAACAAGCAATGCTGAATCCCGCTCAGAGAAGCAGGAATGGTGTTGGGGATGGGCATCACTTGATGTTCCTTGGAGAAAGTTGAGGAATATTTTCCTTCTGCTAAAGCAGACATAAACACATCGCATTCATTGCTACATTTTGTGCTTCATTCATAGGTGGTAGATAAACTTTTGGTAAAGCAGACCAGCACCACGGCAACATTTCTGTTCAACCCTTGCTTTTTTTTTGTTTTCCCCCCAGGCCAACCCTCCCGGGGTCCTGGCTCTGCTGGACGAGGAGTGCTGGTTCCCCAAAGCCACAGACAAGACATTCGTGGACAAGCTGGTGCAGGAGCAGGGCACCCACTCCAAATTCCAAAAGCCGCGCCAGCTGAAGGACAAAGCCGATTTCTGCATCATCCATTACGCCGGCAGGGTACGTGGCCTTCAGGCTTCTTCACTGTCTGACTGCTGAGTTCCATGTAGTCTCCAATCATACAGGACAGGTTTTGTAGTTCACCTGTCAATTCAATCTCTTCCCTTTTAAAGGCATAGTTCACCTTTCTGACCATGTTTCTTCTTATACCTATATTTATGGTTTATTGTGATGCCACGAATATCTGACAATGTCAATAAAAGACAATTGATATGGTGGATAATAGTGTGCTGGTGACTAACATGATATATGGTATTATCCCCCCCCCCCCCCCCCCCACCATTTCAAATTTTCCTAACACACCAAAAACA